CACCTTTCAATCTATGATTTAAAATAAATTGTACACGATTATATCATTATTTAGAGGACAGAGATTATACGTACTTTATTTCTTGTTTTATTGAGTTGGACGAATGTTACATGCACAAATATAACATCACCATATATATTTTGTGCTTATTGCATATCTAACAAACAAAAGTACTTTTATTTATTTTAGCTGCTATTACTAAACTTAACCTTTTTTTTTTTTGGTTGCCGACAAGGAGAGTTAATACAAAGTATGTTTAATGTAAGTTATAGTTTATTTAACAATAACATCGAGTTCAAGTAAAGCTATTATAAATATTCTAAGTCCATTACAACTTGAATAATATTTTCCCCACTAATATTATAACTTATGCAACGCGCGTGGTTCCAAGAAAAATCAATTTTCTCAACTCGTATCATATCATAACATTATATTAAGTTTTTTGGAAAATTGTTATTATTTACTTAACTTACTAGTTACTATTAGTAGGTCTAATTATTATTTACTATATAATAAAATTTAGTTATAAAATTGAATTAGTTTTGTTAATAATTTTCAGAATATAATGAACTTGTTTTACAAAATAATATTCAATTTATATATTTTTATAACTTACTTGTCTAGTATATCTAACATTCATAAACTTTATAATTTATTCGAATCAAGTTCAATAATTTGATTGAAATATTATAAAACGGACCGACTAATGGTTATATGAGCGGTTCACGATTGGCGGTTCAGATGATAAAAATATCTACTCCGAATATGTTACGCAAGTTTGACTGCTTTTGGTGCAATACTATGCGTGGTAAATAAACAAAAGTACCACTTTTAGTGGCAATTATTCCTTGATCTTCCAATTTTATCATTTTTGAAATTAAATGTATTCGAGATTCTATAGGTCAACATTGCCTAGATCCTCCCTTTACATGACTCCTACAAGTATTTTGTGATGTGATAAAAGTTTTTGTGAGGTTGTATAATCATTAATAAATTAGATCTTCTATCCATTAATAAATTTATATTTTGTTTGAATTTTAAATTTTCAACGTTAGTTGAATTTAGTCTTAACTAAAATTTAGGTTTACTTCTAAAGTGAATTTAATTTTAATTTACTATTCATCCGCTCACATAAATTTAACTATCTATCACTTCCAATAATCTTTTTTCTACTTTGATATTACATCAATTTTAATCATTATATTTTAAATGTGGTTTAATTTCATACTCAAAGGGGCAATTGAATATGGATTAAATAGGTTATAATCCAACTTTGTGAATTATAATGAGTTAAGTTGAATTATTTCGAATAAAGTAGATTTAAAATTAAATAAAATTTAAAATATAATAATTAGCGGGGTAGATCATTATTGTGTTATTAATTTATTTTTTCATTCGCATGACACAAGATGAATTCCATATGTCCATCTCCTGGTCACGAGATGTGAGATCATTATTGTGTTATTAATCCAGACACTATTTTGACTCCTGCACCAAAAATTTGATGCAGTGCACAATCTTATAGACTAGTGATTTGATTGGCTTCTTAATCATGATTGTGTCTTCAACTTATGATCAACAAATTTTAAAACCCAACATTTTACCCATTACTACTAAAAAAATATTTTTTAATCCAATTATTTACTCGCTATCATATTTATCAGATTTTTAAAATTCGGCTTAGGCGGCCGCTAAAGCACTAGGCACTGGTTAGGCGATAGCCGGACGTCTCCGATTTGAATGAATCAGCCTTAAAAAATTAGTCAGCTAGTTCGGCGGCGCTTATGTGCTCTTAGGCAGGCGTGGTGACTGGGGCAACGCTAGGCGGCTCTCGATGGCAATATTTTAGTCTTTTTTAATACTAATTTTATTATTTTGTTGTCATATTTTCTTTATGTATATACATACAAGAACGTAGCCAGAAAAAAAATTCACCCGGGACTGCAAAATATACAGCTGTTATTCAAATCGAGTTGTCCTCTAACATAATTCGATTCAACTTGTAAAAGATTGGGGTTGACTTGCTTGTATATTTAAATGATCCAAACTCGAACAACTAATCGAGATTGTCTATCAAACAAGTCAAGTCGAACGTGTTCACGAATAATTCGATTAGATTTTGGGTTTTGGCCTAGGTTTTAAAGTTTATTTATACGAGTCGAACTCAAGCTAAAATTTTTATTTGTTTATTAAACGAGCTGAGCTACGAAAACTCGTTTTCTAAATGAGCATGAGTTCAAACTTGAAATACTCGATTTGAAACATTCAGATAGACACATGTATAAGAACTACTATAAAACAGTGTAATAGTCTTGTCATTCTTGTTATATGACATGTCATCATTTCAATGTCATTTTATTGAATTTGTCAGAAAAATAGATGAGATTTAGTAGTAAATTTCGTATATCAACTATCATTTATTTAAAAATTCATTGAATATATAAACTTGATTGTGAAATATATAAATTCAAGTATATACTAAGTATTATAATGAAAGTCTAACACAATCAAATATTGTTGCAAATAAAATTATTCAGATAAAATTTTATATAATCGAATAGTCGTAAAAGATAAGCATAAAAATGACGTAAAAGGGGCATAATAATCTAAAAACAAAAGCGGAAAGAAATTTAAATTATGTTCAAATATATAATTCATTGATTTAATATAAAACAAATTTAATTTATCTTGGGTCAGAATAAGATTAATGCTGGACTAACCTAATGTAACATGGGCTAAAATATTTTAATCGGTATAAAATTAACAAAGGCAGAAAATTAAGACCGGGCTGGAGCCCACCACAGCCTTTGGGGTGGCTCTGCCCTAATATATATTAATATTATTATTTGATTGAAGGTGTGTAGATTTATTATAAATTGAGATAATTTCATTTTTTAGATAGTGAAAATAATAAAAAGAATATGTATTAATCTTAATTTCTAAGCTCCCCTAGACGTCCTAGGCACTAGGCGTTGGTCGGGCGCCTAACGACTTTGATGAAGATCGTGTATCGGGACTCGATTTTGTGTAGGAACCCGCGCTAACGGTCTTGGTTCGAACACAATAAAATGTGTAAACCCGCACTAACGGCCTTGGTCGACACATTATTAAGTGAAAAACCTATACTATCGGCCTCGGTTTTTCACGAAGACAATACTCAGAAACAAGCCTTTTTCTTAAATTTTATTTTATAAAACTTGATCCCCAAAACATGCATATAAAGGTCCTATTTATAATACACACAAACAACGTTCAAATTTAAATATTCAAACCTACAACTAACTAACGAACATATTTCAATTAAAAAAAAAAAACTAACATAATTTATCTAGATTAATCCTATCCAAATTATCCTAATTAATTCTATATGCATGAAAATCCACTTCACCCGCCATCATCCACGCGATCCGATTTCTACTCGAAAGTCTGGTTTGCATCAGACTTCTAAGACACTGATAGTAATAGGTATTAAAGGTCTTCATTTCTTACATCAGTTCTAAATGTTTACAACTGATACTATTAAGACTCCGGATGGACTTGAAATGATATAAGGCGTAAATCTAACTTCCAACCGAAAATATTACTGCCTCCTATTTTTTTTAAATATAATTTTAGCTTTATCAACAATCAACTAAATAAATGACGTATTGGATCTTTTGTACATATTTTTCTATTATTACCCTCATCTAGCTAATAAATACACTACGTCTTTTCATATTCACTCTTCATCTTTTTTTCAAAACATCCATCTCTGTTCTCATTAATGAAAGTTATTATTGGTAAAAAAATATTTTTAATTATTGTGCAACTTTTCAAATTGACACTTATTAAAAACAGGAGGGAGTACAAATTAGCACTTCTTAATCAAATTATATTGGATTATTTTGTTTTGGCTTTACTAAATATGTCAGGCACAAAAATGGTACAAAAAGTATTCTGGCGGAGTTTCCCAAACTTGGTAAAAGTTCTTGTCAAAATGAAGTACGGTCAAAAGCATTTCCAATGTATAGCTTTTTAAACCTTTCTTAAACACTATTAAAATGCGAAGCCATGAAGCTAGAGAACGTCTTAGCATATTATACATACATTTTTATAATTTAATTAGATTGTGCAGATTTATTTGGTCTAACAATTAAAGTCTTTGCATACCAAAAGGAGATGCCTGTCTCAAAGCAAAATCTTACTGCCAAATTGATATTTCATACACAACTCAATTTCACAAGCTTATTAAGCATCTTGAAAAAACACCTTTAGCTATTAATAGTTAGCCCACTAATTATAAAGAATAACAAAAAAATATTGTTGCCAAAATCAATTTAATATGATGAAGCAACAACTTTGGTCTTGACTCTTGACTAAATTCTTTCAACACTCGGCTCAAAAGTTATGACCATTTAATAATAAGGGAAAATTCAGTAACAAGCAATTTATTTTATGCTCTAAAGGACACCTAACTATTAAGCTAGAATACTAGTTTGATTTTATATGCAAAATGAAACCCATAAAGAAACAATCAGCATCTCCAAGAGGAGGAAAGAAAAGGAGAATCTCATCCATTACAATTAATTATCTTTTACACAATTATGTAGTATAAATTCCAACTGGATATCATGGCATCGAAATATATATATTTTTTGCTTAAAATTTGTAAGGTTATTGGAACTGGATTGTGTTTATTCTAACTCGTCAAAATTTTTTGCTTGTTTTCCAACTTTTAGCTATATAAGTTTGATTCTTTCTCTATATTTTACTTATTTCTAACTTAGAGTTGATTTTTTCACTCACGTAAAATGATTTTGAAGATTTTTTCAGTTTTTCATTTACGAAAATCAATTGGTTAAACCAAATTTACTTACACAATAGTACAATACACATTGTGTTATCCTAAACACTATATATAGGACTCAATTATATACATATTTCTTAATTAAAAGGAGATATTAAAAAAAGCAAGCGAGATCGCGTAATGGGGGAGGGCAGAATTAAAAAAGAGTACATTATTAATTTTGATCATCAAGAGTCTTAACTACAATTTATTCCAATTGTTCACTTTTGACCAGAATAGTATCAGAACCTTATATAAAACTGTTAAGTAGTAATTTGGGGTAGATGATAACCGAGCTACTCGGACTCGAGTCGTTCTCTAAGGAAGGCTATTCGAAACTTTGTTCACTATCTAGTCGTCAATTTACATAACCAAAAACAAGGTCCTACACATGCTACTCGCTTGATTGTGGGTGGTTTGATCTTAATTAAGCTAAACAAATGAAAGCAAATGATGAAAAATGCAAGATTTGAAAGAAAGATTGGAACTTTGATTGACCGGAATCTCCATAACTTGACGAAAATGAAAATAACAAAAGAAAACATGCGAGCCAAGTGATCCTAGGCAATCTAACACGAGTTTTCTTAACTAAATCATCACGCTTTGAGCAAAGTCGAGACCTTTACACAAGATAAACACGTATTGAATCCTAACACACTTGAACAAGCAATGAAAATAATGCAAAGTCAAATAATCGAGCATCAACACAATATTTCGAAAACACAAACTCGAAATAATAAGCCCTAATCAAGGTACTTACCCTTCTATCGCAAGCTCGGACAAAAATAATGCGTAATGATCGAAATATGAACGAAAATGAAGTTACCGGAAAATGTCAGGTGTTGGACCTCCAAACCAAAGTATAAAAATAAAATAGAGAAAAAGAGCTAATTTCCTAACTAAAAAGTTTGAAAATGAGGGTTGATGTCCAAAAATACAAAACACAATGTCTATTTATAGCTATCCCACAAACACACACTAAAAACATGCACAATTAAAATTTTACACTCACCTAATTTTCGCCTGGGCGAAATCTAGGCGAGTGCCATCCAATTTTGGCTAGCGGGCGAAATCAGGTCACTCGGCGAAAT